CCAAGACGTAATCTCTATTATTAGAAGTTTTCTATATTTTTATTTAACAGACTGGTTATAAATTTCATAGCTAAAAATAGTTCTCTTGACGAAGTTTAACAATGTTCACCACACAGTAATTTTCATGACGTTAAAAGTGAGTTAAATTATTTATAGCTGCGTTGATTTCTAGTCAGTTAAATTATCTTTACCCTTCGACAGATTCTAGAACAGAGACACACTTTTCGGCGTCCAACAATTGCCATGTTTCTTGACTTGAAGGCGGCCTTCGACTCCGTGGATCGAAAGGTATTATGGCAATGTCTGACTGTGAAGGGAGTGCCAAGAAAGTACACTGCGCTAAACAAGGCACTCTATTCAAACTCATGTAGCCGTGTAAGGGCTTATGGGGAATTGTCATCTGAATTGGTAACAACCAGTGGTGTCCACTTTCCCCATTTCTGTTTAACTTCATCATAGATATGCTGATGGAAGTATCCTTAACTGAACGTAATGACTTAGGAATCGACTTGTTATCAGGGAATAGTCTTATGGGCTTGGAATATGCAGATGACATAGTCCTGTTAGGGGAGGATGCTGACAAAATCCAGCAGAGTCTTCTGAACACCTTGAGCAGCAATCTTCGTATGTTTGGCATGCGATTCGCCCCTACAAAATGTAAGATGCTGCTACAGGACTGCACCGCGTCAACCCCTAACTTAGCGATAGGGAGTGAAGTGATAGAACATGTTGACCACTTCACCTATTTGGGAAGTTGTATTAGCACCAACGGACTCATTGGCGAAGAAATCTCAGCACGGATCCAAAAAGCTCGAGCTGCTTTCGCTGACTTACACCATCTCTGGCGTAGGCGTGACATCCGGCTGTCAACCAAGGGATGTGTGTACTGCTCAGCAGTTCGCTCCGTCCTTCTCTATGGCTCTGAAACATGGCCAATACGCGTCGAAGACATGAAAAGGTTGACTGCTTTCGATCATAGATGTCTGCGATCTCTGTCTCACGTTAGGTGGTATAATAAGGTAAGTAATGTTGACGTTAGGCGTAGAGTGTTGGGCAAAGAGGGAAAATCAATCGACGAGGCTATAAAGTTACATAGATTGAGATGGCTAGGTCACATGCTGCTCATGCCTAACCATCGCCTCCCCCGATGGGCATTACTAACTGATATAGGTGTGGGTTGGAAAAGAGTAAGTGGTGGCCAAACAAAACAGACAGAGAGAGAGAGACAGTCAGTTAAATTGCAATGATAGAAAACAAAACACTTGATAATGGAATGTTCATTTCAAAATTTTACATATACACACATAAAGAAATTATTTAATTATTATTATCATTATTTGTACAGATCTTTCGTGTTGTGATATATCTACCCTTCCTTTCTATGGTGTTTCTTTATCTTCTCTTCTTGTCAGCCATGTTTTGCCACAGTGCTAGTTCATTTGCTCTCTCTCTCTCTCTGACGTCAAATCTATCTCTCTGCTATTGGATATTCGTGTGTACCGATAAACGTCTCTCTCTCTGTATATATATATATATATATACTAATCATAAATCTTGTGCGAAGCAAAAAGCCACAAAATTATGGTTGGTCCGTTCTAGTAAATGAACTCTCGTAAATTGAACGCTTCATTCAGTGTTGTCTACTTACACTTCGATATAACTTTTGTAGTGCTCACAAAGTAGCAGTGGTACTTAACACTTATTTTTCGCTTAAGAAACAACGGTATGGTATTTTTTTTTTTGAAGTAATCATAAACACAAAGGTAGGCGACAGGCAAATCAATGTGCATACTACACATAGTGTGCAACATAGATGGCACTGAAATAGAAACTAAGTCAGAAATTAAATACCTAGGCATCAATCTATCTTCTGATCTGTCCTGGTAGTCTCGTATCTTGATGATTTCCAAGAAAATATTCCGTCTTACCTTCTACACCAAGAAGTTAAGACATTCCGGAATAACCCAACCCTTACTCCTACAATTCATTAACTCCCGTATTCTGCCTATTATTCTCTATTGTTCCCCCTTAGTTTTTCCAGGGCTACTGAAGAAAGACTGTGCCTTATTACGCAGGATGTTAAAGGTTGTCAACAGGGTAAGCAGTTTCCCACTTAGCCAGCTTGTAAATATTCTGCTTGACAGGCATATGGACTCATGTGAAAAATGGGCAAAATCCATTTTATCTGACTCACAACACCCTCTTCATTCACAACTCTCCCCTTGTATCTCGTCAGGGCAGACCAGAAGCCTATATAGTAAGTACAAAAACTCATCCATACCCTACTTAGTTCGTGTTCTGTGCGATAAAGAGAGCATTAGGCGTGATATCTATAACTTATTAAATAGTCAGTAGAACATTGGATCTCGTCTTTCCAACTCACATCATTTATAGGTACAAAATGCTTTCTCTCTACCATTTTTTTCTGTATTTATTTTTGTTATGTGCTGTTTTGTTTCTCTCTTCCTTACAAACTCTACTTAAAACATTCTTGTTCGTTCTTTCACAGTCTGTAAATCTCGACCATTTTGTTACCGCTTACGCCAGTAAACATGCAAATAGCATCTACTTTTCTAAAAAAAAAAAACACTCTGTTTAAAATTTCGGCTTTGCTACCGACATGCTAATATGTTGCTGTCAAAACTAACTGAGATAACCTTAATCTATGTAGAACTTTATTTATTGTTAATGTACTAACAGGATGCAATATTGCAGTAAAATGCTGAGAATTCTATTCTGTATCGCAAGTACTGTTTTGGAGGAAAGCTATTATCTTATCTTATGTTATCTAACTGGTTTTATCTTTACAAATTGGACAATTTGACAGCGGAAAAATGGCCCCATGCTGAGGAACGATGATTAAGCTGTTATATATATATGCGGAGAATTTGTAAATTCTGGTTTAGTAATACTTTCTTTGATAAAGCTGTTAGCAGCAGCATTAAATAGTGAAACGTCAGTAAAAGCGAGAATATCGTTTTGTTTTTCATTCATTCATTGGGAAATACAAAAAACCCACCTTTATTATAATGAATATCATATACCACCCAATGCCCAAATTTTTTCAAATTGTTAAAAGCGAACTTGGTTTGGACATATATAATGTGCATACTACATATTGCAACAGCTTAAAAAGGGGAAGAAAATGAAACGACTTCAAGTGAGACTGAAGTTGACAAAGGCGAAGACCTCGCCTTTTAACTGGAACGTCCTAGTTTCGATACCCAGTGGGTGCGTACTTTCGAAGAGTTGCTTGCAGAAGGGTAAAAAACACCTGTCAAGTACTCCCAGGTTTTTAAACGGCCATCTAACTAATGTCAGCTACTCGTGATCAACCCTGTACCGGTCAAACCCCTGCAAAGATGACCAGAGTGAACGTAGACTAAACAGAATTTCGTAAGGTGTAAACACATCTGTAACACTTATTGGCTCGGCTCGGTGTGTCATCAAACCTCCTCTCAACAGCCACTGGCTATTAGTGCCACCTACCATTGCTTTACATCAACATTTCATAAGTTTCATAGACTAACACCAGGTGTTTTCTGGCTAAAACATGGTTTACATTTGTTATTACAGTATCTTGAAATGGCTGAGAACATAGAAAAGATACCAAATAAGTCAGTGCAACACAAATCAAGAAATCGGAGTTATATTGTACATACAAAAATGGGATGCTTTAAAACCATGTTCCCTTCTCTGTCTTATTTATTTATTGAAAAATTTATCCAATCACTGACTTTCTATGACCATGTCGAGATATCAAGAACTGAAATATTATCCTCATTTTTTCTACTTTTTTGATTAATAATTTTTTTTTGCAAATTACTTTTGAGTCCATGTGCATTTGAACAGACTGATTTTTCAACCTTCTATATGTTACCTTGGACTGGACAGGGTCGTTTCAACTACAGCCGGCACAGATGAGGATGTCAAAGCTGGGCTGAGTCGAAAAAGCAACGCAAAACTTTATTATGAGACTGTGAAATTAATGTGCAAATCTACTACACTCAGAATAAGTAACAAGATCTGAACCTTCTACTGTGGTGAGTGCCATTGTTAAGATTTATCAGAAGTATAGAAAGAGACTTTCATCGGCATAAAAACATCAGATAGCAAGGAGATACATTTGAAGTCAGAGAAGGCAAATGATACAAAGTTGTGGAGATACATAGGAGACGTGAAAGCAACACAAATTAATATAATATGAAGGCCAGAAGTAGCACAACACAAAGATCTGTGCAAATTGTGCGTTGAAGATAGGGTGTACATAATTTTTTTTAATCACAGATTGATTCCACACCGTATTTTTGGTACAGGTGTGGAATTTTCAGCATGTGATGTCGGTAGTCCAAATTTTGCAGGCCAACCATAGAATATTAGATGTGCGCCAGCAGGGGATCGAACCTCGGACCATGTGCATGGTCGGCGAGAGTCTTAACCACTGTGTCACCGACGCACTACAGATATACCCGATTTCCAAGTAAACGTTCCTCTAACAAGGCTTCCATTTCCGACCGTTACAGTACTACTAATGTAAAGTCAGTGCTTCTTTACGATTCGATATGACTTGATGTGTGAGTCACAACAAGCATTTCCAAAAGGCTGAGGGCACACTTTCGTTGTCTCGATAAATAACGATCAGATTATCCAGTCAGACCAGGATAAGCAACAAGGAACTCTGGCAAAGAACTAGCAGGGAGGAAGCATCTATGCAGGAAAACATGTAAGTGAATTTGAAATACACTGAGAAAAAGACAGGTGGCAAGTGGCATCAGGTTATTGAGGTGAATCCCTAATGAAAAAAGAGTAGGAGAGCAGCACGTAAAAAGCGTGAAATGAAAGTTTACTTGGCATTTATGGAGCGAGATAATGAAGACTGTGGAGAGAACAGCATGAACTGGAGATGTAATGTCCTGCTGAAGCTGTATATTCTACTCGAAACCCAAAGGAATAATAATAATACTAATACATTGTCTTGAGATTAATTTTCACCCGGTCTACTTAGGAGTTAGTTACGTTTGCAAAACTTCTTGTTTAAGAATTTCTTCATTTTAATGACTGCACGCTGAGCAAAAACAAGAATACAATTATGGAAAGAAAACGGAATGCGTATTTCAGAAATTGTTCAACGTTTTCAATACAAAAAATAATTTTTTATACACCAGTAAACTGAAAGCTTACCAAGTGTACATAATAACATGGATATCACAGAAGTAATTCATGTAGACTGTCTACGCACACACACATACACACACTCAATGGTTTTAAGCTTTTATGCATGTTTCCAAAGACTAGTATTTGCTCAATTTTAAATTACGCAACGTCCTGAATGTAAAATAAAAATGGACACAAAATAAGGGAGAGAGATTATAAAAATAAAATAAGATTTTCTCTCATTATTAAAGACAGACAGTTTTATTCCGATATTTGAAGTCTTCAAGATAATATCAACAGATAAAATAAGATAAATATAATTATAAAAGAGTTCACGGTAAATTTAGCATATTGTGTTTTTCAAAGATAACTTGAACACAATTATATACTGTTCGCATAATAGGTAGAGTATGCGTGTTTAAAAATTCTTGGCATTGTTCACGTGTAAATAATCCATTTTCACGAGGTTGAGATTGAACGATATGCTGAACTAATTGTTCCCTTGTAGGTAGAGCGTATACAGCCACGCTAACAGCCTTTCTAACAGCCCATGCATGATATTGAGCTAGAGTTTTTTCGTATACCGACCTTGCGATGTTCCTCAATTGTTCATCAGGTGGAGCTTGAAAGATTTTTCGAAAAACAAAACGGTATATACACATTACATACATATGTATATATATAAGCTTATGAAACAATCACCAAGTTAAACTTCATGACTGTTTGAAAACGTTATTTTTAACTTAAACAGGATCTTCAATTCACATACGACCCTTCCCCCATACCCATTAAAGTTTCATCGTTTTCTGGATCACTTTGCTTACCATAGGTTTTTATAGCCTTGATAATCAATATGTACTGTTTCTTTTCCTCTGATCTCCAACTACAGTCTGCATTCGTTGCAAAGACTAAATACGCTTACATGTGAGCGACGTCGACACGTATGCAACGGTTCTTCAACCGCATCTGAGGGTATGATTCCAAAGACATTTAAGGATGGTAGCGGTGAATTATTGACGGGGTTAACTAAGATTTTAGAAAATGTGTGGGGATCTGGGATAATCCCACAGGACTAATGCAAACCACTAGCCGTCTCAGGTAATCCAAAAAAGATAAATCTCGTGACAACCATAGTGATTAACATAATATCTAAAATTCTAGCTTTTATACTGCTGCAAACACTAGGAGGAGGTAGGGAAAAATACACCTGAAGAAATCAGACGGATTCTAGGCATGGAGGTGGGTAAATAAATACATCTCCACCTTTTGGAAGGTCCTGCAAAATAGGAGCACGTACCAGCGTCAAACAGTCACCTCGTCTATTGACATGGAGGTAGCTAGGAAGGAAGTAACGACAAAGTTTATTGTGCTAATCACGGCACTCTTCTCGGTCACATGCATTCGTATAGGCGCTTGTAGAGAGGTATATGAAATGACAGCAACCAGTAGTGACTAGTTATTAACGGAGTCTCGTAGATCTACAGTACAGAGCAGATGCTGAGTAATGTAGAGTTTTCCAAACCAAACTACTCATCGAAAGACGTATGTATTATACACCGGTTTGCTCCATCCTATTTTACAACTTTTAGACATGATCATTAAAGGTGAAACATGACAACATGGGCGGTTTTCGACTATAAGGCGAATAAGATTATAACAAAGAGGTTATGCGCAGATTATTACGCAACGGGGGAAAATCAACCAATGAGATTGTGAAGTCATATCTGTTGGGATGGCTAGAGTATGTGTTACACGCGTGGTATTACCTATCTCTTTGACCGGTAAAGTTAGCTGACATAGGATTAAATTGGAGAAGGTCTAGGGGTGATTAGACGGAAACATGTCATTAATCTATGTAGTACCTGACTGTTGGTTTCAGCCAAGCATCCAGATTCTGAAAATTCTCACACACGTTCACTTAATTATTCTTCGTTCGGTGCATTTACGCTGGGTAATATGGTAGACTCCAGAAACCCGGATATAGTTAACATTACAGAGACATGGCTCACGTCCGATGTAACAAGTAACGAAGTTAACCTACCAAACTTTACGGTATATACAGTGGACTGAATAATCCGCAAAAGGAGTGGTGTATTCATCTGTCTCAAAAAGTGCTTAACCGTGAGCAACATCGAAGCTATTGCACACACAAGCGGAACATGCGAAAGTCTACGCTGCAGACTAAAATGCATAGGTTAAGATACTGACCGCATTGCTATATACCGCAGTTTCAACTACAGTGCAGACAACTTCCTGATAGAGAAGCCAGGCGCATGGACATTTAAATGTCGGAGTCTCGTAGTGAGGGACTTCAAGGGCCTAACAGATGACTAGACAAGCTTTGCGACGCCATCTACGGACAACTCCATTAACTATAAACTGTTGGAATCTAGTATTTTGCTCGCACTAGTTCAGCATGTCACGAAGCCCACACTCTACAACTTACATCACTCTTCTTCAACCTTGGACTTCGTTTTGTCTCATGGTGAAGATGTGAGCCTCATACACCTTCCTCCCTTAGGAAGAGGTGATCACACTGTGCTCATTTTCAAGTTCACGATAGCATTACCACGGGCTGAAACTTCAGCTCGACCAAACGTTTGTAAAGCTGATCTAAGTGCCATCGTCTTAGCACCCAAATCGCTGAGGTGGTACATAAAACCAGTGTCTCAAGTAAAGGCTTCATGGAACCAATCTTAGCAACTTTACATTCACGTAACCGAACCTCTCATCTCTTGGTCTGCCCCAAAGGATCGAAAACACTTTCCCCCATGGATAAACTGAGAGACTCATAGTTTACTCAGGGAAAACAAGTGCTAGAACCTGTTTATCATACCTGAGACTTCTGGGACCAGAAAGGTATACACTACCGCTAGGAAGAAAGCTACTGCGGTAAATCCGCCAATTATGGATGAAGTCCGAAATGTGTCTGGTTCAAAATGCAACGGCACAACCTTAGAAAACTTTCTATACATGAATTTCAGGGTTAAGACATCCAATGGGGTACCAAACTTGACTACTGACAACGACACAAACAAAAAGGACGAGGAGAAAGTAGAGGCGATGACAGATTACTTCTCTATTGTGTTTACATAGCAGTCATCACTCCCCATAGCATCAGCTTCGACCGCATCAGAGGAATACAGGATAGACTCAGTCAATGTCGACCAAGACACCGCATTCATTTCTCTAAATAAACTAGATGCAGGGAAATCAGTGGGGTTTGATAACCTTCAACCAAGGCTTTTCAAGGAGCTATTATGATGTCAAAATCATCCACCTGAGCTACAAATCTTCTCTATCATATCCAAGGAGCTATTAGCTCGTATAGTCGGTCCACTGACTACGATCTTCAAGATATCTCTCCTCAACTGGGTGTTACCGAGTGACTAGAAAGACTCCAAAGTAACCATCACCTACAAAAGCGGATCCAGACACTGTCCTTTAAACTACAGGCGTATTAGTTTCACCAGCACCTTAGCCAAGGTACTGGAAAGAATCATCAAGAAAGCTATCATAGGATATCCAGGAAACAACAACTTGTAGTCCAGAGCACAACACGGCTTCCGAGGAAACATTGAATATCTGTAAAATCTTCTTACGGCAAAACAAAACTGGGTCATTTCAAGGAGCAATAGGAGACTGGTCGAGGTTTTCTTCATGTACTTCAGTAAAGCATTCGACAAAAAGCCTCACAAAAGATTGCTCACGAAATCGGAAACTCTTAGAATCAAGGGTGGTTTACTAAACTGGATCAGGGAATTTCTCATAGGTAAGAGACAGAGTCAGGACTAAATCAAAACTCTCCTCCTGGATGAGAGTACGTAGTGGAGTATCACAAGGCACCGTACTCGGACCCTCCGGTTTATTTTGTATATTAATGAGTTATCTAAGCTCACCGTTTCCACTATGGTCCTATAAGTAGATAACTTAAAAATTTGGAGAGGGCTGAATGACAACAGCGCTACGCTGACGTTGCAAGACGACCTCAAAAAATTATTACAGTGGCCCAAAGAATGGATGCTCTCGACCTAGTAGCAAAATGCGCAACCATGTGCATCGGACACGCAAGCGTCAGCTCCTACGAACTGGAGGGAACAACATTCCCATCTGTTCAGACTCATTTGGATCTAGGTGTTAGGAAATCTCAACCACAGCAAAGTCGCGCGGCGGCAGCACGTAGTTTCAGATCTTCACAGAGCCTTTATTAGAATCACTAAAGATATGTCCACCTCTTTACATACACTGACGAGGTCAAGACTGATAAACCGTATACAGACAGCCAGCCCTTGTCTTAAAGGGGACTTATGTTCTAAATAGGGTTTAAACGAAGGCAACACATGCCATCCTTGGCATGAATACTTTATTATTTGAGGGAAGACTAAATCGTTTAAATCTCTGTCATACTGTAGGTAGAGAGGTCTCATTACAATGTTTAAAATTATAAATACTGACTACGGATCTGATTTTTTTTCGTCTTTCTCCCCACCAGGTAGGAAAACCTTATAGAACATAGGAGTTCAAAAGCCAAGGAGAAACTATATTGCTGCGGAGTACATGTTCTTACACCAAGTCATCAACTACTGGAAGCAACTCCCAGAAGGTGTCAGTGCTCTCAACTGATTCATTCAAGAATGGTTTGGACAAGCACAGAAATCTATTAAGAAAGGGTCAAGATAGGCTTTAATCCTTCTATCTGCAATCAACAAATCTGAATTTGTTCATAGTGGTTGCGTCATATTTATTTTCTCAACCCGTTTCTCGAAAATGCGGCGACTTGAACTGCCACACTTCTGCATATCTTTTCAGGTAGATAAATTAGTTTGGTTGTTAGAAACTTTTCAAAGTAAATGTAAATAAATGTATTTCAGCTAGTATTTTAACAGATATAACTCAAAAACAAACTGATCGAAACGTCATCCATTCACTTGAAGTAAACCTCCGAAGTGGTATTATCTGGCGCATAGCCTGATAGCCTAAGTGGCACTACATGGAATGTTAATTCTACGTATAGCACCCAAATGGTAAATAAGTATGGAATTACATACTCCCAAAAGTGTCCCAGTTTAAATATATTTTAGGACCGATCAGATACACAACGGCGTAAAGTATAATGGTAACATTACAATACTGCACATGAGACGGCACTTAAATAAGAATACTCTGGGAACTGACTTATAACATAGGTGTTGCAGTGAAGATAATTTTCTTTTCGACGACTTCGTCGAAAAGAAAATTATCTTCACTGCAACTGTCTTCTTAATAACAGGTGTTATTTAGTCAAACTATCTGGATATTATTCGAACCGAATTAGTGCTCGAAATTGGTACTACAGTCACTAATAATACTGTGAAATTAAAATGGGCTAACAGTAGTTACAGAGTAAAGTACGTGCATAAAAACAAAGTAGCGAAATAACAAACGCTTACCTGTACACACTTCCTGCATCAACTCAATCACAAAGAGGAGGGCTCGGTGTAGCCGCAGAAGAGTGCGACATCCATAACACATTTTCTTTTTTATGGGATCGTGATGTTTCTCCTCATAGTCAACCATTTGTTTGACTGAACCGTAGTTCTTCTTATCAGCCACATGTAATGCACGAATGTCAGATATTTTGTGGTTTACATCACTACTTACAAAGTAAAAAAGGTTTCCAAAATACACAAGGAGTCTACGGGAGTTAAAGACACAATTCAGCTTACTTAGCAACTTCTGAGTATGCCTCACAATACTCTAACAACATGACATCGTCACCGTTTGCACATCCATTGAACTTATTATAAACACCGACTAAATTTAAGGAGATGGTCTCAGGATGACCCATGGGTTAATCGTACTAGCACGATACTAAGAGAAATAACCGACAGACATTATTCTGGACTCGGAGTTAGAACTTACCAGATTTATATCACTAGAACTGACAATTTTTAAGTACTCACGTACTTTTGTAAAATCCGTCTTTTACTGTAACTATGTTTGTTAAAATTCCTAGTCAAATTTATCTGGAGTGGTATTTTATTATGTAACAAACTCCTACTATTAGACCTACAACTAATTTAGCATCACAAGGTCATCTGTCGCACGTACGTCCTTGCGCTACATCCTAAATCAAAATGAACTCAAGAGGTCAGGCTTTGTTTTAATCACCATCCCAACATCAACTTTCAAGTGGTTGATACCACATAGGTCGAAGTAGGAGATAATTGAGTTCTGGAAGTGTGGTGCTGCTAAATACACTCAGTGTGAATCTGTGTCAACCATCTTCCGATTATTCAAAACTATTGAGGAAGTTCTAACTGACCCTAGATATCTTGAAGCACAAAATAATCCTAAAGGATTGCTCAACATAGAATATTGATTCTAAGTATCAAATCAGGGTAATTATGTGAAAATGCACATATGAGTGAAGCAGCTTTCAATGATGTTCAATGCTATGTTCCATGTTATTCTACCAGACAACACAAATGCCGTCTTGCTAAGTTGGACCTAAGTGGGAGAGAGTAAGCTTTTTTTACAGGTCATATTCACTTCCACACCCAAAAATCCATGGACAACAAGTCACTTAAATGCAAAGATCATTGGGTTATCCCACTCACATCTTTGAATCTACATTGCTCTTATGATCATCACTATAGAGATGCATGTGTCAGCAGTATAACCAAACTGATAACAGGGAACCATTGACGTTGTTTTTGTAAATTTCAGATAGTCGTTGATTCTGTGTTTCATGTAACACTGTTAATGAAACTGGAAAGTTTTGAAGCCTGGGACAGCCTGACCAAGGAATTTTTCGTTGGTGGCAGACAGAGTCAGGATAAACCCAAACCTGCCTTTCTGCATAGCTCTGAGATATAATAATAATAGTATATTCTCATTTTGCACATGAGGGACGTCAGTTTACAGGCATCATCAATATGATAAATCAGATGTGATAAATTACATATACGATTAGCAATCATACTCAGTAATAATGTTTTAATAAAATACATATTTTTTCCTACCTGTATGTATACCTCAGTTCCATCTTGTGGTCAATGCTCGAGACTTTTACCAGAATCACCGACTTAAATGTGAAACACTTTGTATATGTTCCTGGTGAGGTCAAAACAAAACACATGCATCCAAGTATCCAACTTTTGTCTTAGGGGGGCCCGTATACTTTAGAAAGTGTTCGAAGAAAGACCACACATGTGATCCCCAGTATGGCCAGTTTACTACACGAGGAAAGACTTCATAGTTTTAATCTCTTCTCATCATGATATCGTAGTTGGAGAAGAGATCTAATGGCGTTGTTCGAGGTCCTAACTAATGACTATGGACCTGCCGATCCTCTCTTTTCCATTCCTCCAGGGCCGAACGACTCGGAGGGCATATCAGAAAAGCACAAAGTCCAAATAAAAATTGCAAATCTGCCGGATACTTGCTCATACTAAATTTTTGAACCGACTCCCAGAAGGAGTAGTGTTTGCACCCTCAAATGTCTTTTGATAAATACGAATCGGACAGGTACATGATTTTATCAGGAAAGGTGTACAGTCCTGAAGTCTTTTTTCCAAGCCAAAAGGGGCAGTGTTGTTTTAACGGGGTTAGGTCTCTGGCCCTACGCCCAACCTTCCGTCTTCATCAGACTTATTACCGGCCAAGAGAGGCCGGTAGTCGAACTCACGACTAAGTGCGTGGTAGGGGAGTATTCTACTGGCGATTTGTATACTCACATACTACTCTTATATGCTTTCTGTAATATGCAGAAAGGATATTAACGGTTTCTAGGTGGTCATATCAAGATTAGATGTGTTGCCACCTTTGCACCTTTTATAATAGGAGGTTTGGCTTCCCAGTGATAAAGTGCAGATGCAAAGGGGCGGAGAGAACTGAGTGCGGACAAAAACTAATGATGTGATCCACTGAATTTTCTATCAAAGTTGAAAACAGTAAACGCAGGGAATTGGTTTGTTTTCAAAAGCATTCCCATAGCTGAGATCCTGTCAAATTAGAAAAATACCATTAAATTTTCAGTGTTTAAGCTGGACACCTAGCAGAAGACACAGGGCATTCATGAACTGTGGTGATTGACAAATTCTATCTCTGTATTGTTTAAATACTTACTGTTGACTGTTGATATATTTCTTATATGAATTGCATAAGAATTCCGCAAAATACAAATTCCTGATTTCTGCTCTTTGTGTGTTTTGTTTGGATTCTTGTAATTCGGTTATCTCGAAATACTAATATTACAAGTACAATAAATTACTACAAATTGGCGTCGCGATGGAGCTAAGTAACCTGGGAAAATTTCCTCTTAATGGTTCTCCGCGGGAGATTGCTGATTATTTGGAATGCTTTGATGCGTGGTGCATTTCCAAGAATGTTCGGGATGACAAAATACCAGCACATTTCATCACTGCTATTGGATTTGATGCATATAGCCTAGTGAAGAATCTGGCGTTTCCAGATAAACCCATTTCTCTGCCATATGCTAAGCTCCGTGAGCTTCTTATAGATCACTTCCATATAACTACTTTTGAGACCAGAGAGACGGCTCAGTTCAATAAACTGGTTCGTGCTCCCAACCAGAAGATTCGAGACTTTATTCTGCAACTCCAAATTCAAGCTTCAAAGTGTAATTTTGGAGATCAGCTGCATACTCAACTACGTGATCGTCTAATTGCAGGAATCAATATTCCTAAATTAGAGAAGGAGTTAATTCAGATTCCTTCTTGTACCTTTCAAACTGCTAAAGATTTATGTATTACATATGAAGATGTCCATAATGAATACTCTGCTCCCACTACGTCAGTATCTGATGTTATGCTTTCTAAAGTCGAAAATACAAGTGTTCATGGAAAGCAATCCAAACTGCCGTCCACAGGTAATGGAATGCAGCGAGAGATCAAAAACATTAAACTGTGTTTATCCTGTGGAAAGTTACATCTACGAAGCACTTGCCGTTTTCGGAGTGCTAAGTGCTATAAATGTGGTAAAGTTGGACACATCAAGACTGTTTGTAGAAGTTCGAATACTTATGTTACTCAGAATTCTTATAATTCTCCCAATCTGTCTAGTAAAATGGAGTCAATGTGTCTTTCAACCTTTCAAAATACTCAAGCTAATCCAACGAAAACCTCCACTACAAGTTCGGCAACTCAAGTGTCAACTGTTTTCAAAAATGAGGTAGCCGAGTTGCAATGCGAACTGTCGAAAACACGAAAAAAACTGAATGAGATGAGAGAGCAACTGATTAAAATTGAGGAATTACTGCATATGCATAGACTAAGTCTGGTGAATGCAGAGCATACAAGCACCCGTGAAAGTCCTGCAAAACTTTTCAAATCTCGAATTCTCAAAAAGCATCTGATGTCCACTACTTCTAAAGTACATTATTACAAAGATAAAAACTACAGACCTCCTGTTGGAATTATACTACAAAAAATGGGAAATCGAGTGGTGAAGATATTAGACACCAAAGATCACTCAGTTCATAACGGACACCTGGACAAAGTGACAATAAATGAAGTAGGTCGTTCCAATTATAATATTATTGATTCCGCTAATAATCCTGATTTTGTAGATAATTCAGAAATAAGTCCAGATAATACTGATGGAAATAATATCACAGAATCAGTTAGGTCGAAGCTACTTGCAAGCAAACCAAGACATCGTTATAAATACGCAAGGAGATATTCGAGGTGTGGCGGATGTGGTGATTGACAATTTCTATCTCTGTATTGTTTAAATACTTACTGTTGACTGTTGATATGTTTCTTATATGAATTGCATAAGAATTCCGCAAAATACAAATTCCTGATTTCTGCTCTTTGTGTGTTTTGTTTGGATTCTTGTAATTCGGTTATCTCGAAATACTAATATTACAAGTACAATAAATTACTACATGAACATTTTGGTACTCTATACTAGTTGTATTATGTATTGATTTCCTCTGCTATATGTCATCCTGTGAATATTTATGGGATCAGGTCCACTGACTGGAATCATATGAGCTTGTCCTTTCGCTTGTCCCCATTAGTCTGAACCACCCTAACTTCGTGAGAATGATGCTTCCAAGTCTGCCTGACTAACAGAGGGAAAAATTCCTACATAACTCCTATTGAAAAATGTGCTGCGTTAGGTATTATAGCGGTAAATAATTCCCCAAAATTATCGATCACAGCAATCACTCACCATTGGATGCTGACCACCACTGTTTAAGTCAACTTGTTTAGCTTCTGGTCAAGCATCCCCGCTATTTGGTACCTCATCGTGTCACGTGCACAATCACTAGCCAGCTAAGCGTTCGTCTGACGGCTTGTTTTGGTCCTGAAATATATCACGTAGTTTGGACGATCAAATATTGGCTTTTGCTTTGTTTTTGGTACGCGAGAATTAATAAGTTAGAAGTTGCTATACAAGCGATTCCGTCAACCTCTGAAGTAGGATAGTGAGATATCATTCTTTTTCTCCTCAACAGCTGCATCTATGTTAAGAGAAACAAGTAACTGGTAACGATGGGTAGCGTACTTATGAGTGCATAGAAGTTATCTGCTTGCGAAAAGAGTAAGGAACATCTGCAAAGTACTAATAACTTCTGTATTTACTGAGTATTTATTGAGTACCAGAACTGTCTACAACAGTTATTCAAATCATAATAACATTCATAACCACTAAGATAAGTGAAACCTCGCCTAGTTCACTAGCTCGCTAATTTTCTAGCTGGTCCCAAGCCGGGATAAAGAGGGAGGGTTGGGGCGTGGTACTAGCAACTCCACCCCAAAACTTCACCAAATCGCTACAGAAACTTCAACGAACAAATATATTAAAAATTCTAAAAATATAAACAATAACCTTATATTTCGCTGGAATCAGGGAAGTGAAATGACGCAGGCTGGTGAAAGCCTTCGGGAAGCCAGTCAGATGATGTGCCTTCTTTCGATGAATGTACCTGGAATGTTCGTACAAAGTACGAAACTGGAAAGGCTTCCCAGGTAGCTGCGGAAATGAGAAGATATAAAATAAAAGTGTTGGGAATCTGCGAGAGTAGATGGAACGGATGTGGTAGGTGCCAAATACCAAATGGAAAGACAATAATCTACTCCGGTTACCCAGAGGACAATCACAAGCACACTGAGGGAGTGCACATCATGATTTCACCAACAGCAACCAAAGCTCTCATGCAGTGGGAACCAATCTCCCACAGGATAATCACAGCCAGGTTCAACTCAAAAGGAAGGTAAGTTACAGTCATTCAATGCTATGCGCCTACA